ATCGTCAGTTACCATAATCTGGAAAGTTCACTGAACTGAAGTGTAAACGATCCTGCCAAAAATACATCAGAAAAATGAATTGTAAACAGGAAGCAGGAGAAATTTGATGAATATAACGCTCCGAAAAATAAATACCTCTTAATTAACACCATGTAGCAGGCCTGATGTTTATTTGTATTTATCTATGTTACATTAAGAGTCTGTTTAGATGAGTTTGTTCGAGTTTGTACGTTTACCATTGATATTAAGAGAGAATACAAAGTAATCCCGAAGGCTTTCAAAAAAATATGGTACGTGGTAGCATTTTTGCTGTCAGTAAATATGAGAACAGCAAAGAATGGCAAAAAAACGTAGGTTGACCCTTAGTCATATTTGAGCGTAGGCAACATACGATATTCGTATTTTTTAGCTGATTTTCTGATTGACCTCATTGCATTATAAATTGTTGTAGATTTTTTTACTGGTCAAACGTTTCTATCATACACTTATGATTGAGTAATGAAATTTGTCCTACAAAGTTCCAAAACAGAGGCTAGATGAGTATGTTACAAGCTTCTATTCATTGGTAATAAGTAGACTGATCTCAAGCCAGCTCAGTTTTGATTGATACATTACTATGATGCTAATTATACATTTTTAGTATTAAGTATTCTAAGTAATATAATGAGCAAGCGTATCTTACGGAATGAAATATTTTGACGATGACGGTTGAGGTTTCCCTAAAATTGCAGTCACAAAAAAGCACATTTTTCTAATCTAGAGGATTTAAGCAAAAGAGAATATAACAATAGAAAAAAAAATGCAAGTATGTATGAGAGTTTAATGTTAATGGCAGTCTGACGACATTTCTAAAACAGGTTAGAAATTATCTTTTACTTTTACTGTTTTATTGACTTTTGAACAAGAAACTGTACTGCTCAATCACGTGAGCTTTTTATACTGGTAAGCACCAGCTGTAAAATACTACTAAAAAGGAATGCTTGGAGATCACATGTTTGATATCCTTGTACTACGTTGAGGCACAACTGCACAAATCACATGAAAAACATGTATAAACACACCCAAAGAAGTGGAACAAGCATGTTTCGACAACATCTCGACAATAATTCATGCGGAAAAACTACCGAAGATTATCCTCAAAAGATAAATATATGGGGAATATTTAAATGTGAAAACAAATAGAAAACGGCGAAGTAAACACGAACCCTGTCACAATGCATTTATCTTCTTTGAAAATCGGTGTTATAGACTAGTCAATTTAAAAGAAAATGGGTATGAAAATCCCATTTTTCTTCTAGAAATGAGAAAAACAAATGCATAAGTTATTGAAAAAATAAACGTATTAAGTCCGTATAAAAAATGGCTTGCGCGATTTCCTTACGGAGATACAGGACCCTCATTGCCATGAATAACTTCTGAACTACACTGTAATCCAACGAAAATTCTGACATCATAGTAACCTAACGGAGTATTGCTAGTTTTTAACACCCATACAATAATGACTAAAAATCTATATCTTTGGAAAGACTCATCCCAACTAACAATTATCACTCATATTAGAGTTGCAAGAATGATTATACAGTATTCCTTAAACAGCATTGTATACTGTAAAAACATTGGCAAAACCCTCTTAGAACAGCTATACAAGCGGAATGGGCACACCTAATAGGACACATCAGTCATTTAACAGGTTGTATAAGGGCTGCAGGTAACAGTGATAAAACAAAAGTGTAAGCCTCTTGCAGCCGCTATAGGACATTTGCGTCAGTGCAAGATTCAGTTTTTTTCAACTATACAACTATTCTGTTACGTGATTCTACTTTATTGCAACCAAACTATTTCTTATGTATTGTATAGACGAAGTGAAGAATATATAACTAACACATTACAGTCATTTTGTTTACTTACATATCGGCCATTGTGAATTTCATACACAGGTATATGATAACTTCTACACTGTGATATAGGGCTATTGAATTACTTGCACAGCAAATTTTATTGTGACTGTCGTGCAAATTAGTTACGCAATTTCTACGGGCTTCGTATTTGATTCATATTTTGACAATGATCAAAAGTATGTCTAGATTTTTAAGATGGAAAACTGAACTTATCTGCGTTAAATCTTCCACAAATCCTATATTTAGACACAATTACACTATTTTTTATCACTTTATATCTGTAATTTCGAACTGAAACATAATTATTTAATATTAAATAGAGGAATAAATCTTTGCCAAATATGGCAGGTGGTTGTGTACAATCATGGCATCGTCCATGTTGCCCTTAGGTTATTAGAATATTTTGGTGTTGCCTGCAGGTGTTATACAACAATTTGACAAATGTCTGAAATGAAATAGCGACAGAGTCGAATGATTTACCCAGAATTTGTACCAGATCTATATCTTCTGTTTGAACAGTTGATAAAACGTTTTGAACCAATATGCATGCGTTGTTTGTCTTAAAATATTGGTTATGGCATTTTAACAAAAAATGACAGCAGAAAGTTAGGTTATGGTGAAGTTGTTTACCAACATATTTAGCATATGTACAGCCTTTAACAGTTACTAAACAACAGTTGTATAAGTGGTTCCGTTGGGAGAAATTTGTTGGCTAAAGTAGTAAATTGCAAAGCAAAACAACAAGGATCGGGTTTGTTTTATAAACGTTACCATGGATACCACAACACAGCCATTTTGACTAACTTGAAAATATGCCGTATAAAATAGTTGTATAAACGTTTATGCAACAGTTAAAAATTTGCCCTATAAGGTGTTGTATAACTATGCTATACGAATATTTTAAACACCTCATTTTAGAGCAAATATGTTGCAGAAAGCAAATTTGCATTCCACACTACATTAAGCCATCATTTTGGTGTTCAGGCAACAACAATAGAGAGCTTTTATGGCTGAACGGTTCTTTTACCAAAAGCTTATACCACTGCTTTGCTAGTTGGGATCCCTCAGCTTAAAAAATTGTAATCTTGTTTGAAATGCATAAATTGATGATTTTCTAGAAAAACAGTCTTCCTTCATCATGGTACTGAATTGCATATACTGATTCCACCATTTTGGAAATATACTCATGTTTTACTGATTCTGGTAACATCCACAGTCCCGATAAAAAACCGGACCAAATTTTCACATCACTTGATCAAGTCTGAAATATTTTTGAGCCGTTCGAGGATTGGCTGCGGCATGAGTTGAAACAATACTGTTTTCTGACTGAAACGGCCCATTTTATCGAAATCAAGCCACCATACTTTTCTTGAGCAAAAGAAGTAGGCTTTCCAGAAATGTTATTTTTCAATCACTGCTACAGAAAATAAAGGCATTGGCGTCAGCGACTTAAATGAGTTTTTTATACATATAGCGATTCAAAAACAGTGACAACATTAATAGGGCATAAAGTTTATTAATATACTAATACTAACATCACAAAATTGCGATAAGCTCTCCCTCACTCGCCTACAATCCCCACTCCCCAATATTATAACCCCTAAACAATTTTCCAAAAATGACCAGAATTCTTTGAAACGTCAAACGTGAAGTTTTAGCGATTTTTTTTTTCGGTTTCGGCATCTTTTCCCGGCGCCACTAGACTGTTTTCCAAAAACTATAAAGCTCTTTCGTTCTTAGAATACTAGTAACCTCGTGTGAAAATTTCGTTCAAATCCGATCAGTACTGTCCGAGTTATAGACGGAACAAGGATTTGCGGACAGACCGACAAACAGGCAGATCAAGAAACAAACAGAAATGATTTTAAGTAATGTACTCGTACATATCAAATAACATCAAAAAAAAAATAATTTATAGTAATAGTTTATGAAATATTTCTTGACATCCTCGCCAGAAAGCGTGGGAAGTCTTTTTTGAAATATCTGTTGTATATATGAATAAGCTATTTATTACATATATGCATCGCCTCTATTCAGAAGTTTTTGGAGAAAAAAAAAACGTACAAAAAGTTTCAGCTAGTCCAATTTCAAAAATACGCTAGATATTGAAATTGTATGTACTGTATTCTATTCCACCATAGGCTTATTTGAACAAAATTCATGGTTTGTCCTTATTAAGCTTCATCAGTAGCGAATCTTGGTAATAGGACATTTTAGGACATGTATTCACAGGAAACTATACTACACTTTCGGATACGCTTTCTGCTCAAAAAATGTTATCATTATTTGATTTGCCGTTGATAAGAAACAAAAATTCTATTATTCTTAAAATAGCACCAAAGAAATTTTTCTCCATTTCCTTCTCGACTAGCCTACGGCACCACATAATATAATCTGCCCTGGAAATCTGTAACACAGACAAACAGCACAGTCTCGGCGACAGCAAAAAAAATTGGTCGTTCAACCGACTGGGTCGACGTCGTTCTGCACTCCGAGTATTTCCTGAAGTAGGAAGAAAAAAGGAAACTCTTTCGATCGACTGAAAGCTTCCTAATCGTTCAAGTATCTTGTTTGTCGTCGCTGGTTCTCCGATAATACCGACGTTTCCTTCTAACAGGAGGACTATCGATTTATGCAGGTTTTATTACAGAGAAGTGCAGAATCTTCAGGAACAATCAGACGATTATTATAGGAAAGCGAAAGCAAATAAAACAGATAAACCTGAAAACTGAACCACACGATCACTGCATAATTCTACACCACACGTTTAATTTATTTTCCGTGGATTATCTTATCATACTTTGAAACCTATTTTTATATATATATATATATATATATATATACACCTAAGTGCCCACCAACTGAAACTGCTACCGAAAAAGAATAATCACTTCTGCTACAATGCCACAACTTGCTACATCCTGCTGGAACCACATTTTTGCATTTAAGAAGTCAAAAGTTCGATAACCTGTTTGCAAGGAATGTGTCTCCAATAGTGTCACAGAGCTATAAAAAATGATTTTACAGCTTTGATTTTCCATCAATGAGTCATGGGATAACAACCAAGAAATTTTATGACAAGTTGCAAATGCATTCCTGAGGATGGGCTTAGAATTCAAAATCTACGACTTTACCTTAGAAACAAAAGTCTTCAACATGTGCTTCTGTAAGGCATTGAGCGGAGAGGCAATATCAATACTTCAAGCTTTTAAGCTATGGATGTGCAGAAGAATCCTGGAAACACCATGGATGGATGATGTGCTAGGGATGATGAAAAGAACCTCAGAGAAAGTCAGCATCGTTAAATCTCGCATACCTCAATATTTGTGACATAGGGTAAATGTGGGACAGATGCCGTAATGGGACAGACGACGCACACCTAGCTTAGGCAACACCGGTGCATTTTACAGAAATATTATTTTCTGAATGCGATCAGTTGAGAATGAATCTCGAAAAGTGTACGGGTCTTTAGAAATTCAGACACTTGTTTATAATTTTAATTGTGCATTTTTGTCAAAATAGTGGACTGTTAAGTAACAACATTTTTTTTAGTATCTAATATTCGTAAAATATTTTCACCGATTTGGTTTAAATACGTTTTTAATTCATACGTACGATAGATTTACATATAGAATAACTAAGGTCATGTTCTTATAGGTTTTTACTATCGCAACTGTAATAACTCCTCAAAAATACGTCGCGGCAAGATTTTTTCAGACATACGTCGTAAATATACACGAAAATCTCATAGAGGGACATGGACCCAAGAAGAACTAAGTACGGCTCTACGTTTAATACGAGAAGATGGAATTTCTATAAGACAAGCAGACAGAACATGCAACGTCCCCGAGAGAACAGTAAGAAGAAGACACAAGAAGAAGCACAAAATAAATTAGATCTATCTTCTCTCTATTAGGCGACACGTAAGTCACTTTCTTCAAACGATTGCAATTGTTTTAAAAACAGCCGGTTCAAAACACCTACTTGATGTTCTTGAAATAGAATGCATGCACATACAGAATTGTGAAAATGTGATAAATAATATTAATAGGTAATCCTCAATTTACGTTTGAATTTCAATGATTCTCACGTCACGAGTACTGAGGTGACTTGACCGTACCGATGATTCTAGGCGTTTTTTCTCACATTTAACTATGCAGGATAAGAAAACAAAAAATAAAAACTATCAGTGAGTATTTATTCATGATACCTACCCGACAACCATGAAAGTCTAATTGTGAGAATGGTGAAGTTGTTATTTTGTTACCTTCAAAAGCAATCGATTTTGGAGTATTAGAAAATATGCTTTCTGATGTATTATGTTGAGTCGTGGACGATAAAAAACCAGATGATGCCTCACGTCATGTGCTACGTCATCCTTCCCCCTTCTTGTAACACTTCAATTTCTAAATATGACGTCATCAAGAAAATTGCTCGTTTTTCCTAAAATTGAATCAACCAGCTGGCAAGCAGTCTGTTGCGCGCCTGCCGGTGACATCTGAATAACGACGAGCGAAGAGATATTATCAAGCAGGCCCTGCGGCAGCTTCGGGATCCCGAATACTGTCACCCTCTTCTGCGTGATGAGGACACACGTCATTAACTTTAAATTTTCGGGAGTTCGAGCGGAAGGAAATCGGGCGAAAAGGAGTTTTTCGGACGTGTTGAATGGATTTCTTCTTTAGGAGACAGCTTGGTGGTGGCAACTGTTTTCGATTGTCACACTGGTTGATGAGATGCAATTAGGATCGCGGTTTTTCAAAGGGATGCCTCTTGAAGGTATGAAAATCATTGCCGGTGATTACTGACACCCTTATTTGGTATGCTGCAGCTGACAGGCAGATCGCGAAAATTATAGAGCCGTCATCAAATTGTGAGTGATTCAAATCGCTATAAAATACTCCTTGAACATGAAGTACAATAACATGGAGAGTTCCTAAAAATGGAGACCATCAAGAATAATAACACAAAAATTTTCTATAAAAATGTCGCCTTACTGAGGGTACAGAGTGGTGTAAGTTGCTACACAACTAATGTCAATGACTGGGCATAGAAAATATACCTGTATTCGTCAAATAACGTTGAGCAAGGTGGAACTACTTTTTTAAAATGCCGTATACATACTATAAACATTAGTGCACTTTTAACGTATAACGAATTCAACTCCTTCATATGAGGAAATTAGAGGAGTTCCCCCAGATCCTAAGGAATCCTTCTAGTACAGTAGACAATTCATATATTAAAATATATTACTCAAAAATGTAATAAACTTACAAAAACGCAGCGTAGAAAGTATTCTTATTTCTCTGGTATGTGTTTAAATATACCAGTTTTTACCTTACTGGTAGAGATTAAATGCATTCTCAAAATGTTCACGTTGTAGCTTTATCCGCTCAGAAGATATAGTCTTGTCTCAGTTAAATGAATATAATTCCAACACCCCTGTAGTTTCATGAAAGGGCATTTCAGGTAACGAACTTCCGTTATTTTTGTGGAAAAAATATTACTTCTGGTATTATACTGATTCAGTACAAATTATAAAAAGTAATATTGAACTAGAAGACATTCTATTTCTTGACATAACTTGAAAGCAATAGTAACTTTTTATTCCATTTTGAATCTTATTTCTTATTCCGGAAATCTACGCCATATCTAAGAGACATACGTGTCATGCAGAAAGGACAGATTCTCCCAAACCTTTTTCAATACCCGATCCGCATTGTAGACAATCCCATAAAGTACCAAAAGGGCAAAGGTCAGTTACATCTCCAAACAGATCAATATTACAGGAATACCCTTGAGGATATGCGGGCGCTTCTTCGTAAACCTTTTTCCCGTTCAACTGAAAGGCAAAACGATGATTACACTAGGTTGATGAACCCACTAGTCAAAACGTATAATCATTTTTAGATTAGTGCGCTTACTTAATAAGCAACGGTCACTTCCGCTGTATGGCGACTTTCTATCCGGTGCATACTGTATGACTTTGTCGCGAATTGTCATGGGCGTCGCGTCACTAGGAAGAAATTGGCCAAATGCATTGCTTATATGTTTTTCTTGAATGCCAGAAGTTGCAACTGTGTCAAAGCTACAAAACAAACTTCAGCAGCATCTCGCTATTTAATGGGCAATAGAAAACCCTATTTGGAATACATTAAGTCATATGTACCTTAGTAAAGTCCAACCGTCTCTGAGTTACGCTACATTTTGCCTAATATTGAAAAGAAAAAAGATCAAAATCATGAAAAGCAACCTCTGCTTTCATTTTTGTTCTAGAGTTGCCCTTTGTGATTGAATGAAGGGATGACTTATCGCATGAAATTTCATAAAATTGGGCGGACTCAAAAACGGTGGATTTTGTACTGAGGTACATCTGGCTCGATGTGTTCCAAATGCGGTCTTCTATCACCCCCTAAAAGGTTCGTATCGTCCTACCGAACGGCCTGTACAGAAAAACGTGTAGCTACTACCAGAAAAAAATCTGACATGTGAACTACAGACTTTTTGAAGGTGAACTTATTTTTTTAAATTAATTCATACGCACAAATATGAAACCTCATCGAGCAGACGAATATATTGTTTTCTAACCGCCAACATACGAACAAGGGGTGGCAATGGGTTTAACATGTGTATCTGTAAGGCCTGTCTGTGGCTTCGATTTGAATGTATTTTTTTCAATTTAAAGTGCTGCCTGTTGCGATAGTTCAACACCACGTTTGATGCCAGCTGTTTAAAAGTTTTGGAGGGTAAACATGGGGGTGAGCTACTCTTTGACTTGTATCTCACTAGATCAATCTATTAATAAGAATCGGCAAAGTAATTTGACAGTTTTTTAAGCCGTGACGTGAAATGCATGAACTGGTTTGAGTGCGGTTTATTCTAACAGAAAGTCTTGTTTGTCGAACTGGTTCTGTTTAATGAAAGCCAGTTCATTTGTTTGAAGGTAATGAAGAGGGCTAACGTGGGGTTGAGCAACTCATCAACAGACAGTTTTATATTTTTTACTTTAGGTAGATACCAACTAGTATTTTATCTGTACGTAAGTAGGATAGGTATTTAATGCTACTTTTATTATTTAACGTGTCTTGTAATAAATAACTAAAAGATATAAACGTCTTCTCAAATTATATAACATAGGGTAGCATTTCGTAAAGTAGGCGATAACGTCCCCCTGTAGGCGTTGGGGAACTACGGGGGGACGGAGGGGAAGAGGGGGGAGAAGGGGAAGGGGGGGAGAAGGGGAAGGGGGGAAAGGGGAAGGGGGATAAGAGGAAGGGGGGGAGAAGGGGCCCTTCAATTCTCAATTGTCGATATCATCCTCCTCCGTTCAACTGTCGCACCACCACCCCCCCTTATTGACTACTTTCATCACTTCTGAGTGATAAATTCAGGGGAATATTTATATTTCTTAGTTTTGCAACCTAATAAATTGTCGAAAAGTTAATTGGGTATAGATGTCATACTCGAATTTCAAACATCAGTTTGTCATAGTAATTGATTACTGTGTGACGAAGAAACTGTTGACAGTTTCTTCATCACGCCATACTAACATTTCCTTTCCAGAGCTAGTCACCGTGGCTCTAAGGAGGTAGAGTATCAGTTTCACGACAATGGCTTCGCTGTAGTGGAAACTGAACATTATTCTTTTCATAGCCACGTCACTCAAAAACCCTGCAACTAAAAGTGCACAAAACCATCGCTTTAGCAGCCGAATGAAAACATTTCTCGGTCTGCTGGCGTTGTGATCATAACGCCTCTATGAAGCTTACACCAGTGGCGTATGGCGGAAATACAACAAACCTCACATGGAAAAGTATAACGTTTCTTTGCGAATGTAACTATTATCAGTAAGACTTTATTGGGGAAACTCATACCAACACCCCATAACATGCGTCCGCTGGATGTACATCTCCAAGATATAAAATAAATTCTACACTATTAGTCATTTTAAGCTTTTAGGTAAAAAATGGGCAAACAACACAAATTAACAGTCATGTTTATTGAAAAACAATGTAGCTATTAAAGACTACGTACAAAGATTGATAACCCTATAAAACTCTTCAAAATTCACTCTCACTGTGGCATTAAAGAAAATTTATCAGGAACTCAACTTGAAAATAGAACATGTTTCCATTTTGGAATAAACTGTTGCGTATAAAACTGGTACTAAGTTTTTTTTCTCCAACTACCACAAAGGCCTAAGGAGTAAACATCCATTGGGTATCGTGGGGCTATAGGGGGCTACAGGGGAAAGGGGGAATGCCACACGGACTCTGGCGAGGGAACACGTG